AGTCCATTCTGAACAGAGAACATTTCCATGTGCAGGGCAATGTCCCTCACCTACACACACACACACACACACACACACACAAAGAGATTAGATAAAAGAATATACAATCATTTTTTAGTATGTTAATAATATATAACATAGCTTAAATATTATAAGTATAATAATAGAATATTGTTCTAAAATAATTTTAATATTTATTAATTAATTTTTAATAATATAACAATAATTATAGCAATTTTATTAATTATTTGTAATAATAATAATAATTTTAAAATGCCATTATAATATTTAATAGTATTAACAAACTTTATTACATTATTCTAAACTAGTGTTGACCTGATTTAATTTTATTGTCCAACAGAGAGATAATGTATAATTAAAATGATGTAAATCTCTGTTGGGCAATAAAACTGAGTTAATATAGAAATTGGGTCAGCAGTAAAAACATTATATTATGCTAAACTAATGTTATTAATTAAATATTATTGTCATTATATTGTAAGCAACAAAATTATATTTTTTGCATTATAATTATTATTTTAAAAGGTTATTGGACAAATCAACCATATTTAGAAAAAATTGAAATATCATGAACATTCTTAGTGTTATTTATGAGTTAATGGACCCTGTTTTAAAAAGACCCTTGCTAGTACTTCTGTATTTGACATGTGGATCAGTATTCACAACCAATAAAACAGAATAACAAGAAACTAACAGATACATTTTGTAAAACATTTTGTGGGATGTGAAGGTTTGTGATTTGTGCTAGAGTTGTCAAGAAGTAAAAGAGTTGGTTTTGTATATTAACCTGTTCAAAGGACTTCAGTCCAGCTTCTTTCCCTAGACGAATGATATCTTCCAGGATGGCATTTTTCAGTTCCTGGTTAAAACAATATCAGAAGTCAGGGATGGTACAAGTCCTCATATTTCAACAAATTAAAAATGTAAACATTGTCATCAAATGTGAATCCAAAGCCTCCAAATCCGAAGTGTTGTACCTTGCTTTTGCACATTTCAGTATAGGAGCCCTCGATGCCTCTTTTCTTTGCCCATCCAGGCAGAAAATCTGGATCAGGAACCAAAATGCCCACTAAACAAGCCTACAAAGAGACACAGGACGGGTTTACTCCACTGATCTATAATAGCACATACCCACACATATTAAAGCACATCCACACTCTGATTCACTGCTATGTGGAAGCCACAGTCATTCAGTCCCGTCTCTCACCTGCAGACTGTCTCCATGTACAAAGACCTGAGCCACAGGGTCACTGTGGATGTAGATGTTCTCAATCTTCTCTGGAGCGATGTATTCACCCTGGGCCAGCTTAAAGATGTGTTTCTTCCTGTCTATAATCTTCAGAGTCCCATTCTAAAACAATAAATACTCAACTTCACTAACTAATTAAAAGAAGGGGGAAGGGTTCTGTTCTCTTAAAACGCAAGAATTCGTTTGAAAATATTTTCAAAATGTGCAACATTTTGGAAAGATTGTGCAAAAGTTAAATGCTTCACTTGTCTACAGTTGTATTAACAGGAGCTGGTGAGTTTTAAGTATGAGTTTCAGTGGACTCACAGGCATTAATATGTACATTTTTCAAAAAATTCTAAAATAAATAGTCTTGGACATTATTTTTTTAGAATGCATGGTGAGCATAAGAGACAAGACATTTACTCATAAGTTAAGGCCCTTTCACACAAAGAATGATAACCATAAAGATAACTATAACAATAACTATATTAGCGTGTGTTTATGCTGCAGTTATTTTGTCTGCTAATACAAATGCTTGAGTGCTTTAAAGTACGGAGGATTCTATTTGGCTGTTATTGTTTTTTGTTCGTTTGTTTCCCATCGGCTGAAAAATCCTTCTGAAAATCATTTCAATGATATTGTTCATCTGTGTCGTTATTGTTAAAACTGTGATATGGACTTCAAATATTTGTTCTTCTCAATATTGCTGTTTTTTACTGCATTTTTGTCCAACATATACAGCTTAGGTGAGCATAAGAAACTTTTCAAAAGAAAATTGTAAAGGGTGAAATTAATACTAAATATTGTTAGTGAGTCAGTAACTGGGTTGATCTGATTCACTGAATCAAGTAGAAGATTTACAGAAATAAGGACACTGATTAAATTAGTGCTGAACTGAGAGACTAAAAAAAGTTACAAATGAGAGTAAATAAGGAGCAGAAGTGCTAAGAGAAGATGTGAAATTTACCGGAAGCCATTTGCCGACATCTCCAGTGTGCAGCCAGCTGTCTTTATCTATGGCTTCTGAGGTTCGCTCTGGGTCCTTCAGGTAACCTTGAAACACATTTGGTCCTTTCACACACACCTGTGGAAAACACACACACACACACACACACACACACACACACCAGTCAATTGAGAGGTACACCTTTAGCATTATTCCACAAATGTTGTCAATAGAGCTTAACTTATATTGAACCCAGAACATTCCTTTAAAATTCAATATTTTAACTGTTGACAAACCTCTCCCTCTCCATTTGCTGCAAAATAATTCATCTCAGCCACATCCACAAGCTTAACGAAGTTACAGGGCAGTGGTGCTCCCACATGACCTGAGAGCAGAGACCAGGAGAGTTTGTGTTACTGCACAGGCTGTTTATACTGTACATCCAAGGTGTGTCTGTTTGTTTTTATGTGTTAATACGTGTAGAGTACATTGACATTGTTTTACCTGCTGTCCAATCTCCAGGAAGTGACATAGTGCAGCCTGCGGTACACTCTGTCTGCCCATAACCCTCATAAAACTAAAAAATAATAATCAAAAAGACAAAAAAACAGTAACCTTAAAACCAGTTGTGGGAATACTGATTAGCAGGAGAACAGAGGGGTGTGTGTGTGTGTGTGTGTGTGTACCTGGCAGCCCAGCGCTGCTCGCAGGAAGGTGAGGACAGTGGGAGAGACCGGAGCGGCTCCTGTGATCATAAGCCTCACACATCCACCCAGACTGGCCTGTAGGGTCACAGGAGTCAGATTTATGTAGACATAGTAGCAGAAAATAGTTGTCACAGTTCAGTTTGGAGTGTTATGCTAATGCAGAGTTTAGTTACAAAAAGGTTATAGAGTTAAATTAATTAACATTCGCATTTTATATCTGGATGAGAGTTCTGAGCAAGCTATTGTAGATTCAACATAAGCAAAAAAAACTCTGTAAGCTTCTTATATTTTTTAATCTATTTATAGCATGGCTCAATATTGTGGTATTGTGGTGAAAAAAAAAACTTCAAATAAATGCTGTTCTTTTGAACTTTCTATAAATCAAAGAATTCTGAAGGACAATGTATCACTTTCCACAAAAATAATACACAATAGTACAATGGTTTTCATGTGAGAAAAGTTTCTTGAGCAGCAAATCAGCATGTTAGAACGATTTCTGGAGGATCATGTGATACTGAAGAATTCAGCTCTGCCACCACAGGAATAAATTACATTTTAAAATATATTCAAATAGAAAACAGTTATTTTCAGTTGTAATAATATTTCATAATATACCTTTATTTTTGATTAAATAAATGCAGACTTGGTGAGCATGGGCAGGGCCGGATTTACACATAGGCATTCTAGGCACGTGCCTATGCTTGCTCGTCCAGGGGGGGCCCAAACACAATAAAGAGATATATATTTTATTTTTTTTGTTATACTATGGGATATCTACAATAATAAAAGAATCAAAACTCCAGAAGACATTGAGCAAATAAATATAACAAACAATAGGGTAAAAATTACAAACTATTTCCATGTCTTCATCCTTTTTTATGTACGGAAATCACGCTTTTCTCCTCTCACAGACACGTGCACACACAGTACAGACACGCACTCGCGCACACACGCGGAGATGCGGACAGAAACTTGTTGTCAGAGCTGCGGCTGCCCAGCGAATTTATCAATAAAATAGTTTCGCAGCTGAAAAGCTATACATGACATTTCTCAGTAGCGATGTTCTTGAAGCAGTTCAACTTAAAGATTCGCTATTAGTAGATGCTGCTGCTGAACACTGCTGAGAGACGCACAGACGCAGGTATTCACATGCGCTTAATCTCTCTCTCTCTCTCTCTCTCTAATAACTGTATTAGACTGCATTAATAACTACATAACAAATTTTTTTTTTACATTGATTTAAAGTATTTGAGCTTCAAAGTTGTTCTCATCATTTTTGTGGTCATGAAAAAAAGGGAAAAAATGAGTTGTAAAACTGCACAGAAAGGGTTAGTAAGCAATTGCATATTGTTTGCAACAGTGCTGTCAGTTGAGCAGCAAAAACTCAAAGCTTACTGATGCAAACATCTGGTAAGCCATGAGAATCTTTAGAAACTTGAGGGTTGTACAGCCAGGGCCGGATTTACGCATAGGCATTCTAGGCACGTACCTATGCTTGCTCGTCCAGGGGTGGCCCAAACACAATGAAGAGATATATAATATTTTTGTTATACTATGGGATATCTACAACAGTAAAAGAACCAAAACCCCAGAAGACATTGAGCAAGTAAATATAACAAATAATAGGGTAAAAATGACAAACTATTTCCATGTCTTCCACCTTTTTTATGTACAGAAAAACGTTTTCCTTCTCCCGTTCTCTCCCACAGATGCACACACAGTACAGACACGCACACTCCCGAAGTTAATGGAATGGTCTTTCTCAGTTCTCAAACAAATTAAGAACTAGTCTACATTCGATTTTTATTGACTGAACGCAAGTGCTTACTGCGATAGAAAACATTGTAACGGTTTCACTGATTAAGAATTTTTTTTTTTTTGCTTCGGTGGTGGTAATATTAGGCCTATTATATTAATAGGGAAGGGGGGGCCCAAAAATTTGTTTTGCCTATGTCACGAAAAGAGGTAAATCTGGTCCTGAGCATGGGAAACTTTTTCAAAAACTTGACAAAACACCAAGAATGCTAACCGATAACTATAAATGTAACTATAAACAATATAATTTCCATTCACACCAACAGACAACATTCTGTTTAGGATAAGCAAACTCTGCAGCTATGTCATCTGCCACTTTAAATGCTTGGGTGAATTCTGATTGGCTATCAATGTTTTTTTTATCATTCATCAGCTAAAAAACTCATTCTGAAAATGATTCCAACAATATTGTTCCTTTGCATCCGTATTGTTATAGTTCTGGTGTAGACTTCCATGTTCTCATGGAATTAGAATGATCTTTAAACTTTACATTCATAGTTATCGTCCTTGGTGTGAACGAGCCCTTTCTTTATAAATGTCAGACAGTTGAATGCTGAGTATTTTGTAATTTGTGTGTTGCTAGGCAACAGAGTCTTTATAGGTGCTCATCTGATTGTTCTGTCCTTGGGCTCTACACACTCTTTCTCCATTTCATCTGGTTACCTGCACTTTGCTGAAGATCAGTTTATCCCACATGCTATCCTTCCTGACAACTCCACTTTTAAGCTCCGCCTCTTTCCTGCTGGAGGCAAAATCCAGAAGCCATCTTTTGAGAGGAGTGTTTGCCTGTCCGAAGATCTTAATGCAAACACACGAATGTATAATGAGCACCGAGTGTATTTAAGTACAGACTTCAATGCAAACAGTTCATGTGTGTATAACTTAACAGAAGTACCTTATCAAACATGCGGTTGAGTAGTCTGGGCACTACAGGGAATATAGTGGGCTTAAGAGTCTTCAAATCATCCATCAACAGACGGATATCACCCTGAAAATATCCAATCCTGGCCCCGTGGACCAGAAGCACACCCTACATACACAAAAATCAATTATGCAACAAGAATATAATGACAGTTAATTTCTATATAGGCACAAATACAGTCAAGAAATTGTAATATCATATATTTAAAGCAATAGTTCATCCAAAAATGAACGTTTGCTGAAAATGTACTCATCCTCAGACCATCCAAGATGTAGATGAGTTTCTTTCTTCATTGGAACAAATTTAGAATATATTGCTCACCCATGGATCCTCTGGGTGCCATCAGAATGAGAGTTCAAACAGCTGATGAAAAGTGTAGCCCATCAATTAACATGTTATGAAGTGAAAAGCTGTCTGTTTGTAAGAAACAAATCCATCATTTAGGCATTTTAACTTTAGCCAAAACACCAGTACATAATGCATAATAACACATCCAACAGTGAAAAGGTTCATACTCTGTTGTCTTCTCACATCAAAATCAAATTCAACAAACATATTTGTTTAGAACTATTTTGGACTGTTTTTGACTGTAAATGCTGCTTGATCTGCGCATTTTCTCCCCTGATTCAGAGGAGTTGACTTCACTGGAGGAAGCATTACAGATTGAGGACTCTGCCGGAAGCGATTAAAAATGTCTTACTGATGGATTTGTTTCTTACAAACATACCACTTTTCACTTTACAGGACATTAATTAATGGATTGGAGTTATGTGGATTACTTTTGGATTATTATGATGTTTTTATCAGCTGTTTGGACTCCCATTCTGACGGCACCCATTTACTGCAGAGGATCACTTGTGAGTAAGTGATGCAATGCTAAATTTCTCCAAATCTGTTCTAACGAAGAAACAAATTCATCTACATCTCAGATGGCCTAAGAGTGAGTACATTTTCAGGAAATTTAAATTTTTGGGTGAACTGTACCTTTAACCAAAACATCCCTCAAAAATGAAATATTAAAGCAATAGTTCACCCAAAAAATGATAATTCTGTCATTGTTTACTCACCCCCATGTCGTTCCAAACTTGTATGAATTTCTTTCTTATGCCGAGCAGAACATTTTGAAGACTGTGGGTAACCAGTTGACAGTAGCAATTGACTTCCATAGTATATTTTTTCCCATACTATGGAAGTCAGTGGCTACCATCAACTGTTCGGTTCAAAATATTCCTTTTTGTGTACAGCAGAAGAAATAAACTTTTGGAAAGACATGAGGGTGAGTAAATGAAAATTGTGTCATTACATTTACATTTAGTCATTTAGTAGATGCTTTTATCCAAAGCGATAACAAGTCTCAGTTAGCTTAACGCAGTACACTTTTTTTTGTAAATTATGTAATAAATAAAAGGAAAATAAATAGATAGAATACAAAAAGATTAGAAAAGCTAGTGTTAGTTTTTTTGTTTGTTTTTTTTGGTAAGAAAACAAGCAGTAAATGAATAGTGCAAGTCTAAAAGGGACAAGTTTTTTTTTTTTTTGCTAAAGTTAGAGGGTCAAATAAAGATGGAAGAGATGTGTTTTTAGCCGATTCTTGAAGATGGCTAAGGACTTGCTCGGATTGAGTTGGGCAGGTCATTCCACCAGGAGGGAACATTTCATTTAAAAGTCCGTGAAAGTGATTTTGTGCCTCTTTTGAATGGCACAATAAAGCGACGTTCACTTGCAGAACGCAGGCTTCTAGAGGGCACATAAGCCTAAGACATAAGTCATTAATTACTCACCCTCATGTTGTTCCAAACCCGTAAGACCTTCGTTCATCTTCGGAGTAATTAACGACAGAATTTTCATTTTTAGGTGAACTATCCCTTTAAGTTCACCGCAAACTAAGTTTGTTACAAACTGTATAGAAAATATATTAAACAACTGTTTAATAAAGGTGTGCATGCATAATACATACCGCGACCACTCTCTCAAACATGTGTGCTAGTGGTAGGTAAGAAATGTGAATGTCTGTCTGGTTGAGCATGCAGTGAACCTGTAAAACACACACACACATACACACACACACACACACACACATGTGCAGTGTGTAATACAGCGTACCTCTACTACTCTTTCAAACATATGCGCTAGCGGTAAGAAGGAGATGAGAACATCTTGAGGACTAGGTTTCAGCAACCCCTAATCACACACATATACACATAAACATATACAAACACATCAACACAGGACAGGAAACAGATAATTAAATGAGGAAATGAGGCACAAGAAGAGGTGAACATAACAGAAAGACAGAACTTGATTTGAAGAAAACATTTACTAACATGTATTAACTGACAAACAAAATGAAGGAAAGATGCTCCTAAAAACTTCACAGATATGATCTGTCATTTAAATCACACTGGTTGTCATTTTTGCTCGTTTTCCAAGAAATACTTCACTACAATTTAGTTTTTACATTTATAGCACATGCTTTAAAACATTTTTGGCTTACCTCTGTAACTTTAATGAAAGCAGAACAATTGGAAACAACGTTTCCATGTGTGATCATTGCTCCCTTTGGACTTCCTGTTGGGAAAAAAAAAACATATTAATTTTATTCTCTGAGTTGGAGCACTAAAAATGCCAAAATATGACAGGATATGATGAGGCAACATCTGAAAGAGACATGAAATATGTGTTCTATGTGTATTGTTTGTAAAAGAAAAAAAGGAAAGAAATTGGACAGACAAAATTTACATTTACATTGTAAATTGTAATTACAAACCAGTAGAATTTTCTTCTTTTCCTGTGAATTTCTGAATAATTTCTTAGTTTTTCTTTTTAAATTAATGAAAATGAATTGGGACTAGGGTTGTCAAACTCCAAAATGACAACAAAAAAAAAAACTCATAAATGTATCATAACAATTGTTTTGTATGACTCAGGTGCTATAAGTCTTCTAAAGCCTTCTAAAGGAATAGTCATTATTCACTGAAAATCTTGAAATTCACTCTAGCTCTCCTTGGCACATTCAGTTGATCCAGTTCATAAAACCAGTATGAATGATTTGCTCATGAATCAAACTGATCCGTTTCAAATCAAAATCAAATACTCAATAATTATTTTAGCCACATTTGCATATATTTTGTTCTCTTTCATTAAAAAGAATAAGAATGGATTAAAGTGTTAACTACAAAATAGTTATGTCTATTTAATCACAATTAAATAGTTAAATACATATATAAACACTTTTACCTGTAGTTCCACTTGTGAAGCAAATCAGTGCCAGGTCCTCTGGTTTAGGTGGCTGGAAATAAAATCAAAACTAAGATTCATTAAATTACCCTGAAGCAAAAAAAAACAAACAACAATAATAAAGCAATCAAATAATCAATTCACTATTCACGTATAAAGTTACAAGTCTGTAAATCAATACAGCGCTCAGTTTTACTCACAATGGGTGTCTTGTAGTTCGCTTTGCCAATAGCCTGCCAAAAGAAAGACTTCATTTAGTGAAGCAGAAATACAAGATTAATGGGATCACTGCTTACCAAGGGTGTGTTTGTTTGTGTATGTGTGTGTGTAATCAAACCTCCAGCTCCTTGAGGCTCAGGATCTCAATGCCTTTCTGTTGTGCTTGTGCAGTCAGTTCACTGTCAAAGTTCTCCATGATCACTATGGTTGTGATGCTGTGTTTCCGGCCAGACACACAGTCCAGGATCAGACGAGCCTTATCCGCGATGTCACAGATCACAGTGGAGATGGTGGCTACAACAAAGGCTCTGTTACAAATTTCTCACAATTTCAACAACATGTCACAATGTCAACACAATTTCCATCTTCTTTAAAATCTTCAAATGAAATTAAAAATAGTTCTGGTAATTAATTAAATACTTAAATGTGATTAAATATGAAGCACTTTAAAATAATTTTCAGTCAAGTTCAGTCTGAATGGCGCATGGCTGATAGCTTCTTTAGATGCAAAAGTCTAGAAATCACATCATGAATGTACATGTTTGCATGTTGACTGGCCTCTGCTGATGCAATCAGATTCAATTAGCCAATCAGATTGCTTGCTGAACTTTTAAATAGCTGGTTCAGTGTTCGCTGCAAGTTGGCCCTGCAGCGTTCCTATCAGAGTTCCTCTAAAACCCTCCACCTCCCCAAGCTCCACCTGTCTAGATCTGCTATGGGATGTATGCTCTGCAGTAGCAGCGTGCATATTTGATCTAGCCATCTGAGACCTAGTACATTAATATTGTCATATCCATTATCATGCTAAAACTATTCCAAGAGTTCTCATGATTGAAATAGGATTACTAATGCTCTAATTAATAGGATTTTCTATTACAGTGAACAGAACACTGTTCTGGAATAGGACACAAAAATGGTGCTATATACTATTTTGAAAGTCCTCACTAAAAATATTTTATTTTTTCTAGTATTTATTTGCAGAATTAAAAAATGAATATAAGGGAAATAGAAAACTATTGCACAGAATTGGGAAAAAATGCTGTGTGCTTGCTCACCTTTGTCAATGATATAGCTGATGGCCTCTGTTCCAAGTGTATCATACAGTGGCACTGCCACCAGTGAATATGTGTAACATGCCAGCTCTGAAATCGTCCACTGCAGAAATGTGCACAAAACTCAATCAGTTGTGGAATGTACATACTTGGTTATCTTATATAGAATTAATATAAAATAAACAAAACAGAATTACAAAGTGTTGCCACACCTGCTGTATAATAAGCAAAGCAATCAATGTAGCAATCAAGCCTGTCCATCAATGTGTAATCGAAGTAATTACATGATATTTTGATCATCAAAACCAGCTTCAGATATCTGTGTCTGTGTGCATCTGATTACCTCTGGCCTGTTCTGTGCAAAGATGCCAATGTATTTGTCTCCTGTTTGACTGTGACATCTGTGGAGTAATGCTGAACCTGCGAACTCTGCCCTGTCTGCTACCTACACACATGAACAGCATACGAAAATACATAACTTACTCAAATGCACAGCTATATCTGATAAAATACAAATGAGACAGGGTTCAATAAACATACAGAGAAAAAAGGCTAAACTAGTTGTGGAATAAGGTTTCAAATCAATTTTGCTCTATAGAAATCTTACCTCTTTATATGAAAGCCATTTATATGGCTTGCCCGGTTGACGTGATCCCAAACAAGGACCATTATCTATAAAAAATAAAACACAAAAATGTAAAGATATCACACATGATGACAAAACTTTAAAATAACAAAGGCTTCTTTTTTGGGTGAACTACTGGTGATTTTATCTTAACGACTTGAGGCAAACAGCTATTTGACTTACTTGACACTCGTAGTCCTCGTAAGAAAAACTCATACATTGTCTGAGCGTCTTTGTAGTAGTATGTCATGTATGTGTCACTGTCCTGCAGAATAGACCGACGAGCATATCCACTACCCTGAAAAACAAAACCAAAAATCTATAGTTTTGATAAAAATATAAAAAAAGACTAGGCCATTAACAGCAGAGGGAAGGAAGACTTCATGCTAAAGGAATTTACAGATGGTCGCTGCACAGTGGATCTGACTGGCTTTAAAGCTGCTGCTAACATGCTTCAGGGTGTTACCATAGCAAACATACAAGAAATGGTGAGAGTACACAAACTCTTTCAGGCAAAGACAGAGATCAAGGACATGCATCTACAATTATACTTGTCTGGGTGAAAGAAGCTGTAATTATTTGTATCCAAATCCAAGTTACAGTCTGTGCACTTGTGTACATACACATATACACACAAAACTGCTATACACATAAAAAAGTGTGTGATGACAGAACAAGACATAGAGGAATGTGATGAAAAGACCACTCTAAAAATAAGTGTTTTCAACACACATACACTACAATTCAACTGTTTTTGGCAAGTTAGTTTTTATGTTTTTTAAAGGAGTCTCTTATGCTCACCAAGTCTGCATTTATTTGATGAAAATACAGTAAAAACTGTAATATTGTGAAATATTATTATAATTTATTTATTTCCCTGTGGCTCAAATAGTAGAGCATGGCACTAGCAATGCCAGGGTCATGGGTTCGATTCCCAGAGAAAACAAGAACTGATCAAATGCAAACTATACCTTAAATGCAGTGTCGCTTTGGATAAAAGTGTCTGCCAAAGGCATAAATGAAAATTTATTTTTATATATTTCAGTCAACAGTGGGACATGATCCTTCAGAAATCATTCTAATCATCATCAGTATTAAAAGTGTTAAAAATAGTTATGCTGCTTATTAATGTTTTTGTGGAAACCATTAAAACGTTATTTAATTTTTTTTAATTAATTATTTACAGTAGTTATTTATTTTGGATTCTTTGATTTTGAAAGAAAGCTCAAAAGAACAGCATTTACAGAAACCTTTTTTTTTTACCATAAATGTGCCCTTGCTGAATAAAAGTATTATTTTCGAATGATAGTGTATACACTTTTTTAAGCTTTTCTTTTACTGGCAGGAAGTAGACATAGTCATTAAAAAAAACCTTGCTATGTGTACTGTGCTAGACTAACTGAGATTTGTCTGATTGTTTCTATTGTTCTCATCATTTGTAAGTCGTTTTGGATAAAGGCGTCTGCTAAATGATTAAATGTAAATATAAATGATAAAAAACACAAAATGCACTGTCCCAAGAAACAGCAAACGTTTTCTGTACTAAGACCTGATTGCATGTATGTCTGAGGAAACAGATGGGTAACTCAGGAAAGAGTTCATAGATGCATACAAAAAGACAGTTTTGTGACATACAGCTGGTAACCTTTTCACATGCTGGGGTAAACCCAAAGGGAGACACAGTCTGCACTGCTGAACTGCTTCTTACAGGAAGTTTGAAAATAATCACTGTGGCATCAGATGACTTCACCCTTTCACCTCTAAAATGCATTCAAAGGTCTTTGACTGAAACATGTTTAATAAATTTGAATGTGTTTAAAGTTTTGCAAGCTATGATGGCGTACATGATTTCTTATGACCTTGGTGGATTTGCAAGCCATGGCTGCTAAGCAACTGTTGGAAACGTACTCGGTTACTAACGTAACCTCGGTTCCCTGAGATACGGGAATGAGTACTGCGTCTTGCTAGACGCATATGGGAAAAAGCCTTTTTTCTCCTGAACTGAAGCCGTCTTTCATTCATGCAGTGAAACTGCACGGCCATTGGTTCGTGCAGTGTATTAAAAAACGAACCAATGGCTAGGCAGCGGAGCTGCACGAGCCTATGGCGATGAAGCCCGCCAAGCCTGTCAAAGCCCGCCAGAATGGACGGGGCATCTGGCTATATAAGCGGGCGTTCGCCACAGGATTCTCAGGTTACTTCGACTGAAGCGACGACTGAGTCGTGCAGCTACATAGCACGGCTAGCAACGCAGTACTCGTTCCCGTATCTCAGGGAACCGAGGTTACGTTAGTAACCGAGTACGTT